TCAATGAGTTTATAATATCGATTTAATGGTAGTTGTTTAATTAGTATTTTGACATTACTATCGAATGAATGATTTTTTCATTAATTTTTACTTGAGGAGTTTTTAGATTAATAATTTAGTTAAGGGGTTTGAAATTGATTAAACAAGACTTGAGGGGGTTTTTCACTAAAAACTCTCGATTATATTTAAGGTGATCTCATTGGAATAAACCAATTATATTTAAACCGGCTTCTCATTGGAATAAACTCTTGTTTTACTTTTTTCCTTTTAGATGTGTGAATTGTCTCTCTCAATATGTTTTTAACAATAGCATGATGTGGATAACGACCCTCTGAATACATTCATCAAAGCTCGGGTGACTCCAAAACTTGTAATAGCTTTTGCAGAACGGTGGGAGTTTGAAAAAATGTTGTCTTAGTCAAAGCATGTAAACAACAAGACGTAAAAGTTTTCCCTCCCCTGTTATGGGATACCAAATGAATGCTTCATTTACTCTAAAATTGACTTGTTTGATCCATCATTAATTCTTTTTATTGTTTTCATTCAATTCTGGATATTTGTCATTTTTGTTACCAAATTGGCTTTGACCTGAACACTAATAGGGTTATTAGTACTTGGTTACATTCCTACCGATTACTAAACCAAAATTTGGACAAAAGCGATTTGATCCTTAGATGTGCGCCTACCTATTTGTGAGATTATATATTTGCTCATCGCGTCAAATCCTGGATCCACTAGACTTTTTGCCATCCTACCTTTTCACTTTCTTCTTCTCGATTGTTCATTTCGTAGTGATTTCGAGATAATTCTTTTATGTCTTCTTCTAAGATCTTCGTTATTCTCTACTGAAATACTAAAATGGCTTACTTTCGGCACAATTTTGCGCATGGCTAATAGTCACTTGCTGCGAGAAGATGTATAACCTTCGTGAAAATAACCCTTTCTCTCTTAAACTGTGTCATTCACTGCGCATACGAGCCACCAAATTATTCGAGCCTTGACCAAGGACGTGTTTTGGTAGACCCTTTATTTTCTTTTCCCAGTGAATGAAGCTTCTATAGATTGATTTCGACCCTACTCTTTTCTTCTTGGAAAAGGGCCATAGGTAAAGAAGTGTTCCGGATTTTCGTAACACCTGCAAATTTTTAGAGGCATTTTGCGGAAAACTCTTTTTCTAATTGAAGGAGTAGAGAATGAGGATCAAATACTTGAGGAAGAAGGAATGTCATCTCCATAGTTTTTTTTTTTATAGAAAATTTTGTCGCCGTGAAAGAAATGAAAAGGAATAAATTGAAGTCTGACATTAGTTATTGGCTGAAACTCAAAGAAAAAATGGCTCAGATGAAATCACTTGTCTGCACAAGCGTGAAGAAATCTACGCAACCTCGGGTGTAGTGTACGTCCACCAGAATTCAAAATTCGTATTGGAATACATAATGTGATGGTGTTCACAGAACTACTGGATGATGCATAAAACTAACTTATCCTCTTATTAAGTAGTAATATAAACCACATCGAAATCAAGATAGTTTATTCAGAAAAACAACCATCAATTTCATCGAAAACAAGAGAAGAGGAGAAGCTTTACAAAAAACAAGTAGATTCTGTACAGTTTCATACAAATAAAAAATACATCAAATAAAAGTAATAAAAACTTAATCACGATTTATATTCCATCAAACATCATACTTACTAGTAGAAGTTACTACGATATAAATACCCACCCCAACAAAAAAAAAAAAAAGAGAGACAGTTTGTAATGCTTATCGCCTTCTCCCGGTGCAGTGTTTAAAAAAACAGTGCAGTTGGTTGAACTTGTCGGGGCCTAGAGACAGAAATGATCCATCATGTGGAAGACAACATCTTTGCCATCAGAATGTAACCAATATGTCTTCACCTACACATTACAACAACATTGTTATGTTAAAATCACTACTGAGTTTAGAGTTTTTGTTACTAAACTTGCCTGAATGGTATTATGAGCGACATATCTTTGCTTGCTATTGTGGAAGCTAACATCTACTCTTTCCCAAGATAGTTGACCGAGTCCATCTATCATTTCCTCTACATTGCAAAATAAAATAAAACATATAACTGGATGATGTTTGGTATGCAACGGATATAAGAAGACCAATCGGCTGTAGATAATGAGGTAAGAATCGAAGCACTTCCAGAATATCAGATAGAGATATCATTGTTTCTAGCAATTCTTAAAAAAAAAAAAAAATCAAGTGAGAAATGGAGCAAACCTTCAAGATCAGTGTTATTCTCTGTTACTTCTGTAGAAGTCGACTGACAACTACCATTGTTCACATTTCCATGCTCTACGTATACAATGTGTGGATAATTTGGATCAGGTGCTAGAAGATTTGACTGGAATATGAGGAGGGAAAGTGATTACTGATAAATCCCAAACAACATTATAGTTTGTGCATAAAATAAGCTGTGAGAGTAACAAGTAAATGCATACCTTTGGAAGCTCACTTGGACGGCGAATTGAAGATGTCCTCCATCCAACCATGTCTTTGTCGTTAGTGAAGGCAAACACTGTCTCTCGTAAACAAATAAGATGTGAAAAAAAATCGTTGGAAGTTACTTAAAACCCATGCTTTTTGTTTTTTTTGTTTTCATTTCCGGAAAGGATACAATCAAAATTCACGTTTGCATACGCCACACGACGCTTGAAGGCATGTAAAGCTGATCTGTCGAGATGATAAGAAGAGATGAGCACATATCAATCTGGAATTCACCAACGAAAACACCAAGAGACGAAACACTTACATAAATTTTAAGTCACAAGAATCTGTAGCCATGCGGATAAGAAGTGGAGGGTTTCCATCATCATTGTCCACCAGAAACAAATGTTTCCCAGTCCTCCCAGCAGCTAAGTGTGCAGTTTGGGATGCTGTTCTTTCAAGAAACGGAAGGCCACAGAGAATCGGGAACTGAAAGAATCAGGACAAGAGTAAGCGTGTGATACAGAGACATCTGATCTATATATATATATGCAAACCTTACAGAAACATCTGACCTAGACATGCAATTCTAAAAACGTCAATTCACCTGTCTATGTCCCCTTGAACCAAGATGAGGCGTTGCGAAAGTTATAAAGTTCATAGGTTCTAACCCAGCAATTTGACCTCCTGTAGCGCTCGAGTCTAAAGAACTGGCTTGGCCGGGCTGTTGATAGAGCTTCCCTATGGCATATCTTGCAACAAGACCTCCTAATGAATGAGCCACAAATGAGATCTTCCTCAGTCCACTTCTTTGCTTAATAACAGACAAAACCTGCACAAGATTTCAACCATTGAAGTCGTCAAGAGCAGTAGTGAAATCTGCAGAAACAATGCTCTGCCAAATATACCTCATTAGCTAGCCTTTCACCCATCATATCCACACCATCAAATGTCATCGTTGCACTGTTACTCTCGCTACCTGCTTATGGTATAGATTAGGAGAATCAATTCCATATAAATCAAGAAAGAACAAGTAAGAAAGACGCACGGTGCACAAGGACTTTGTCCGGGAACTTGTTGACGAACTGATCCGCCGCATATTTCCAATCCGCCGAGCTAAATCATGATCCAAAGGGGAAAGCGTTTAACCAATCATACAGTAATCTGAAATTGATCTGATTGTCGTCTAACCTGCCGATGATACCGTTGACCATGACCACCAAATGATCTGGCTTCTCTGCCGCATCGAACAAATCCTCTCCGCCGCTGTCGATCTCCGTCTTCAGCTCCCTTTTGCTCCGATTCATCGAAAAGCAGCCGACTCCAAGGCGGTTCATCCACTCCATTTGATCGAGATTTTTCGGCTGAGCACGGAATCGAAGGTATAACTTGAACTGGAAATGATCTTCACTAGGCAGAAGAAATGGAGGTGAAATAGAATCGGAGATCGAGATTTGGAGTCTGGAGAAGGACGCGATCATGTGGAGTAAGGACGCAATAAGAAGGAACAAGTGAAAAGTCCCGGCGAAGAAGCGTTACATAATCCCCGTCTCATACATTTGGGATCATCTCATAGATTGATTATAGAGAGAATTTCCTTTTTATGATCCATAATTAAAAAATCTTCATCCAACGATTGATTGATTATTCATTGGATGGTCAAGAAAGTGTTGACGTCACCTTTTAGAATAGGTTTCTATCGAGAGATAGATGCGATTTTCAGAATGTATTTATTGAAAAAATCTTAAATTACCCGTTGAGTTCTTCTCATCTTTGTCTCACCACCATCAATTTTCACACCACTGCAACTGTTAGATTTGTTCCCTCCGACTTCACCGCCGCCGTCGGTTCTCTTTGTCGACCAATCATCCGACGAATCTGGTAATTATTGATGTTTTGTTCTGAAATCCTAATATCCTTTCACTTGTGATTGTTTTTACTTCTTTTTTTGTTTCTCTCAAAACCCGCAGAGAAGGTTTGTCAAATTTCCAGATTTTTCTTCGTCTTTATCGCTCTATTAATTGCGGTCTAATCGAAATCAAGTTTCAAACTACTCAGGTTTGTGTTTATGAATCGATTTCAGACAATGTTGATTTGAAAAAGTATTCAATATGTCCCAAAACTGTGTGTTTAGTCTCTGCTAATCACCTTCTTCCGTTTAATGGTCTATAAAACTTTCTCTTTAATATTTTTTTTTTGATGATTTGAATATTACTGTGAATGTATTTTCGTCATAATTTTGTTCTAATTTTGTTGATTTTCCGCGGTTTTCACCTTCATTGTATATACTCTTATTTAGATGATTTGTTGCATTTCTTAGATTTGCGGAGTTGATTATTGAGAAGCTGAAGTCGTCGGAAAATATATTGGTATTATTTTATATATCTCTCTTCATATATTAGTTTCATCTTGAGGGCTCCAATCAACAGAAAAACCCTTTACAAATCCAAAAACCGTTTCAAGAATGAAGAGTTGTGATTTTTGGTTTAAGGTTTATTAATTGAATCGTTTCATAGATTTTGAGAACTTGCAAAGAAAATTGATCACGTCATTAGAGATTACAATCTAAATTTTTTTTTTTTTTTCAGACTAATCTGCTTTTGTTTGCTATATATGCAACCCATATACAATGTTACCAATTGCGAATCTCTCTCCATGCTTCTTCTTCTACACTGGTCTTTGTGAGGGTTTATTTTGAAGGTCTTCTCATTCTGGTAAAGATATTTATTGGAACAAACCTTGAATCGTTTCACAAAACAACAAATATAGTGTTTGATAGAACAAACCTTCATTTCCTCTGGTAAGTAGTGTCTTTTCATAATTTGTTTGTAATATGCTTGTTGTTCGTGCGTAGGCTTAAGTTCTAATTCTACACCCCAAAATCGATATTTGGATAGTTGTTGATCTTTGGTTTGGTTACAATCGGCCATGTCCCCGGGAGAATATGGGTTGAGTCATGTATTGGCGTGAGTAAAGTCTTTCGAAGAAGAGATTAAAAAAGAGGCAGCGGAATATTTTGAAACATTCCTCAATCATAGGCCAAGAGAATACAGAGGAATGAACTGTGAAGAGATAAAAGAATTGTTACACTTCCGGTGTTCTGAAGATGATCGAGAGTCTCTTACAAAAACGGTAACCGATGAG